GTGCAATCCTTCATGGGGTGGGGTAGAAGAGGGAATTCTTTGGTCTGAAGTTGAAGACTCTGCTCAGTTTTTCGCCCAGAGACAGCAGGCTTCAGGAAAGGGCTGTGAGTTTGGCACTGAAAGGGTAAGTTGCAAAGCCCAGAGTAATCTTTTTCTGTTGGATTTCACTCCTCACTGGTGAAGTGTTTGGCTCTGGCTAGCTGTTCCTGTAGTTTTTGGCTGTGTTACCTTCAGTGCAGCTTCACGGATTGGCCTCTGAAGGTGACGGCAGTGACAACAGCGCAGTGTTTGGGGAGAATAGTCTGCACCCAGAGTGAATTCACTTTGCACCAGGTCAGTGAGAAATCCTGATACCTGCATATACACATGGACAAACTGGGCAGTAATCACAGCTTGGATCAGATATAAGAATAGTTCCTGTGCTCTAGGTTCATCCCCAGGCAGTGTGTAGGGTCCTGGTGCACTGGGGSAGGACTGGCAGGCAGTGGGTACCCACCTTCCCTTCCTACCTCGCCTCTAGCAAACTCTTTCCTTTTCATCCAGCAGGGATGCCCAGCGCAGTAGCTCCTTCTTTCTTCTTTCACTGCTTTCCACAGAGTTGGAATGTGAAACACTCAATGTTTTGTCCATCTCTGCTGTCCATGATATTGGACCCACTCATACTCCTTTAGGTGTTAAAAGACAAGGTAATTCTCTCGGAGAGAGGGCCTTGGAGATTCATCCCAGATGAAAAGCCTTGCATTCATATCAGGTTTCAGTGCCCAGTGAGGCAAGAACTGCTAGTGCTAGATCAGACACATTAGTCCTGAGGGAAATGGTTACCTCTGACTCCAGCAAGATGTTGCCTTTTGGGCTGGAAGAGGAAACTTCACTGTCAGCACCACAGTGATAGYCTTCAGAGACAGAGTTCTGGGTGCTGCGGTCACCTCAATGCAAAAATCATGATCCCACCAGCAGAAGGGATTCTTTCAGGTCGCTGCTTTCCATCCCTGAAGTAGATGACATGAAACAGCAGGGTTGTATTCCTCTTCTGAAAGCTGGCAGACTGGCATTGCAGCAGAGGCCAGCTGGAAGAGAGRCAGACAGGAGTGTTTGGAGCCTCACTCTCCATCGGCAAAGCTGACAGAACAGTTTGGGCTGGTTGTATCCAGGCAGAATATGATGAGGGCAAAGAGGGCAGATCAGAGAAAAAGTCAGAAAAACAAACATTTACATTTGGGATCAACACACACCTCTGCTTTTGGGCCCCTGGCAGCCCATGAAATTCCTTCCACTTGCATAGGCCAGCTTTTCTGAGYGTGGAGTGCTAGTGACATGTTTGCTTCTGGATTATTGCCCCCAGCCCTGAACTATGAGAGGAAGGGGACATGCCCCTTCCTTCCCAAAACCTGATTCAGTCTGCTAATAGAGGCTGTTTTGTAATAGCTCCAAGAAGAATGTGTACCAGCTAGCTGTCGCCTTGCCCAGGCTCTTTCRTGGGCTCTCTCCTAGCTCTGTTTTCATAACAAACATTCCACTGCTAATTTTGCAGTCAGCCTGGGATCTCCAGCTATCCTCAGCAGGAAGAGAGCAAAACACAGTGAGAAAGAGTGAGATTCCTTCCTGCTCTGGCACAATGCGCACTCTCATCATCCTTATGCTCCTGGCTGTCTTGGTGATGGCTGCCACTTGCTATGGTAGGTGACCTTTATTCCTGGGTAGATGGAAAACKCCAAACCTGCAGATATTTTTGTGTCTGTTCGGATGTTGGTTATTTAACTTTGTGTTTTCTTTCCCTTTAACTTGTTCTCTTGTCTACTTTCCTGCCTTTGTGTCAGATCCTCCTAGCCCTGATCCAGACCTGTTGCCTCCAGTCCCTGGGATTTGTGGTCCAGGATGCTTCAACCCCCTCCTCACTGTTCCTGCTCACCTCACAGATTGCTCCTCTTTTTGTCACTTTGCTGTCTGGACTATGATAAGAGTGCTAATTCCTAATCATTCCTTGCTAATTGGAAGAGTTCCCCTTTTCCTTTTGTTACATCATCCCCTTTTTCCTGTGAGGCACACAGTTCCATACTAGTGGAATTAAGATGCTACTTCATGAAAGAGTCAAGTGCATTTCRCTGTGCTAATCCGTTCCCTAAGAACACATGCAAGCTTTGAAGGCAAGTAGGCATCATATCCACTGTTGTGTCAGGAACAGAGGGTGAGGAATTATTCTGGAGAATCGTCCTGAAGTACTTACTAAACCACCAGGTAGCTCAGTATTAAATTCCTGAGCACTCTTAACTCCTMTTATAAATTCTAGGCCACACCAATGATCCCTTTCTCTTCCTTTTTAACAGGTGCCTCAAAAGCTGGCTTCTCTGATTTCTATGTGTATTCTATTGATCTGTGGTGTATGAAAAGACTAAAACCCATYGATACAGTGTCATGCTACATTTTTMATTCTTTCTTTCCACAGAGTCCCATGAGAGCATGGAGTCCCATGAGYATCYCAGTAAGAGACTGTTTTACTATTTAACTGAATTTGAAGACTGCTACAGACATGTCCAGGATCATTTCCTTGTAGGGATTAAATAGGTAGAACCACTCAGGCCAGGAAAATTGAATTTACTGGGTGATGGAATTCTCAGGATGAAAAGGGAGAGAGTTAAAAGAAGACTTCACATGTTTTGTTTCACATACCACCATTTTGCATAGAATAAAATGACAACTGGAAAACAAAATTTGAGAACAGAGCTCAGGTCTCTGTTACACTCACCGAAACCAGGTTAACTGACACTAGAAAAGGACATTGCTCAAAAAACTCTGGGATGAGCATGGAAAGAGGTACTGTAGAAGCCACTTAGACAATTTATTCTCTCACAAGAGCAAGCAGAACCGCACTCTAAGCACCTTGGAAGCAGCCAGGATGTGTTAAGAGGGATCCTTTGGCTGGAAGAGGGAGAGAGTGTAACAGGAAAAGCATGAAAAGGGTGGAGAGTTTCACTTTGGAGCAAGCAATATCCTAGAGAGGTTAGAGAACAGATAGATCAAAACKAAAAATAATTTAGATCATTGACAGAAGAACTTCACAAAGCAGAGAGTCAGCAACAGAAAGGCACATGTGGGAGCCAATGACATCCACAGACTCCTGAACTCCGCAACAGGACTGTGGTGTTTCTCAAAAATATCAGAAGGGACTTTTGGGCCCCTGAGTCCAAAACTGCCATAAAGACTTCTCAGTGGCTGTCTAACCCAGGAGGGAGTGAAACTTACTCAGGCCCTTCCTGGTTTTACTTGTAATTTCACAATTCTTGCAGTTCTTCTGAGCATGCTCAAATGTCCCATGGTCTGCGTAGCTTGGTGCCTACCTCTTCTGGGCAAGGCTCCACTCACTCAGAGGGGTTGTAAKTGCAAAATCACAGCAGCATTTCCCTGGGTGATTTGAGTAACAGCAGAACAAGAGCAGAGTATGCACTTCTGTACMGGCTGCACCAGCCACTGAGAAAGCCTGTGCATGAACCAGCTGGGGGACAGGAGGGAATATTAAAAGGTCCTGGATTTCAGGATACTTGGAAGGGCTGACAAGAAGGCTGTTATAAAGGTGGAAGCTAGCTTTTGTTGAAATCTGGCACTGGAAAAGGGTCATTCTGAATAACCCCTTGCCTTCTCAGATCCCTTCCTCAACAGGCGAAGGGCCAATGACTTCATACAGGCTGACAGCAGACTAAGAGGCAGCACTCAGGAGAGGTATGTATGTCATGGCCTCAGGACACTGAGGTCGAGACTGGGAAAATGTTACTCCTTGCCAAGGATAGGCTGGGGGTGGCAGYCATGGTGACTTGTGAGAAGCCTCAGACCCTCTCCCAATGTGAGACACCATTTAGGTCCCCAGTCCAAGGAGAAGCAAGAATTCAAATAAGAGAGACCAGGTTCTTTGACTGGGGGACAGGTCGCATGCTGAGAAAATKGATTGTTTTTTTCTGGAGGAAGCACTAAGAGAAGGAGAGAGAATGAGTGTGGGATGATCAGAAAGAAAACTCAGTTTGAGATCTTATTTAAGTCCTCGGATCTCATGCAGAACTTGCATGACCTTTTCTAAATAATTGGGCCATCTGAGGGCCTCCTTGCCTCATTTAGAAAATAGAGCTAAAACCAATTTCATGCCTCATTCAAGGTTTGTGAAAATAAAGCCTGAACTACAGAAATCACCTCTTAGTGGGGCGAAGCAAACCTTCTCCTCAGCACCAGATGACCCCATTGCAGAATATTTTAGGTCTTTGTTCCATTTTTGGATTTGGGAAAGAGCAGAAGTGCTGAAGAGAGCAGGCTGGGGGAGGCTGTGAAGGCGCGACCCTTCCTCAAGTTGAGGCAGGAGCCATTCCCCTCTCCCCACCACCTTACCTTGCCCTGAAATAAAAGGTTGCCTGAGGAAGCAAAGCATTCCTGCTGTAGTCGTGTCACTCCCTTGGGCTGGGTAAACACAGAAGCCAGAATGCTAAGAGCCTTGTAGCTGGATGATGGACTCTGGTGGTGGATCCATAATCCCAGTGGGGAGTTTTGGTACGGGGAAGGGCTGTAGACAGGTATTTAAGATGACAGCAKTTACGCCTCTTCTTTCCTACTTTTACAGGATCAGGGAGCGTAGTAAGGCACTCCAGGAGTATCAGAGGGAGCACTGCGAGGATTATTACCTTTGTGAAAAGTATGCTTCTCGCCATGGCTATGCTGCTGCTTACAAGCACTATTTTGGGAGGAGGAGGACTAAGTAAAGGATGACCTGTCCCCACTCTGGGGCCTGGAGTCCAGGRTATCCTCCCCAAAAATGCAATGGCTCTGAAACATATTCAGCTGCTTGTGTCCCTGTATGTTATCCTGCCTGCTGCTTCTCTCCCATGTAGTCATGGATTCCTACACTGTGTTAATTAGCGCTGAGATGATGTAGCAGAGATCACAGAGAGTTCAGGATGTGGGTGTTTACTACAAAATAAATTGCTGGTTTGATACTATCTTCTCTTGAGTCACAGTCTTTTGGAAGGGGGTATGCAATTTTCCATGAAGAAACTGAATTTGTTTATCATAGATTCTGGTGCAAATTACGGGAGATAAAGTCATAGCAACCATATGAWTTTGGAAGAATCAATAATGTTTTTGTTCCAGGATCTAGAAGGGGCTTCTGTCAGAGGTCACTGGCCACTTTCAGTTCCAGTCTTAAGACATCTAAAAAT